AAAGCAGAATGACAAGTGCTGCTGTGTGACATTCAGTGCATATTTGGTACTATTATCTCACTCACCTCAGGTGTTAGAGTAGCAAGATGAGTCATTATAGCAGGAACAGACATGACATGGATCAGAAAGGACCTCAGCAGATTGTCTGAAAACTGTGCAGCAACAACAGGGCTACGGAGAAAAATACTTCAGTGCAAGAAACTCAATCTAGCAAAGTAAGAAGCAGTCTTTCTATCTGAGAAATTCAGGGCTGGTTGCTGATTCTACTCTCATCAAGAAACAACTGGAAAAAGAAAACTCACTTATTTCTGTTACCACAGCAAGTTCACAAAATTGATCACGACACAATAGAATGTAAGTCAAACAATCCACAGTATGACACATTTTTTGCACAGCACATCCACACCACCCAGAGAGTTATAAATGTTATGCAGTATACCTCTCAAGTTTCCCATTTCCCTACTGCCATGATGACAGTAATTAAATAGTGTTTTCCTTAGGCAGAAGTTAAATAAAGTATCTAAGAGCATCCACTGCTTCTCCACTGAACATCACAAATTCATAACCCCAGCAGTGACAGCTATAGAAGGGAATAGGGACAGATGAATCACTGAAGTCTTAAAGAATGCCTGTTACAGGCTGCAGACTGCTAAAGTGAAAAGACATGAAGTCTTCAGGGACAAGGTCAGAGTTACAGCATGCTTTTCTGCCTGAACGACCAGAAAAACCTGCATTTGGTTACTGTTTCAAAGGGCAAACTTTGCTACTACAAACCTGAGGAACAGGTACACAGGCACCAGCAGTTCATTGTGAAGAGTCACAACTACACTTATCTAGAGAGTTCCATTCCCTTCTGACAGTTCAACAGAGAAAGGTTTACACATCCCATACTCTGATCTGGAACCGCACTCAAGTCTAGGCTTACACTAACATTTACTGCTGACTTAATAGCACTTCAACCTGAAAAATGATGACAGTAATATGAACTATTTGCCTAAAGCTGCTCTTTCATCAGGACAATACCCTCAAAGGCATAAAGAGACAGGGAGAGAGAAGACTTCCAAAGAGAATTTTGGCACCCCAAGCAGCTCTGGCTGCCTTACCGCAATGCAAGAGAGAAGATGGCAGTTAAAGAGCCTTTGGACAAGGATGGTCTGGATCTTGCCAAGCCATTGGTTAGCAAAATCTGAAATAAAACAAACATTAAAACCTGCAGAATTCAGAAAAAGATTCTAACTGCTCTTGAAAGACTATTTAGTTTCAAAGCAGAGAAAGAAGGCACAAAAGCCTAGAAACCGGTTACTACTAATTGTTGGGCAGAACTAAAAGAGCTTTTGGTTAATGATGGCATATAGACAAACTTTGTCTTCTGTTCTTGCTTCTCCAGAACTCCACTCAGAACTCCAAAACTGTATTCAGAGGGTTCCCAGGCTTTTTAGAATTAACAGGCAAGGCTCATAGCTCCTTAGTAATATCATTCTCATTTTAAAAGATTAATTATAATGACATCAGTTCCTTTCCCCAGTTGACAGTAAACAAACCCAATTAATACAGCAAGCCAGCAGCAAAGTTTGCAAAGAACAGTCAAGAGCCCTTGCTCTTTATGAATGAGCTTCCTCTACATCTCATTATGATTTAGTAGCATTTAGATTCAGTAGTGGAGACAAAAAGGACATCTCCTTTTTGTGCATCTCCTTATGTATTTAGTCCTTACTGCTCTGAAGAAAAATATGACCACACAGAAATCAGCATCTCTCCCTTACACACCGTCACACAGAGATCATAAAAGCTTCTTCAGAACAAGGACTGCAGAACAAAACAAAACTGGGGCTTGTTTGGAATAAATAGCAGACATGGTTGTATCAGCCTGAAACTGACCTGCAGCACAGAATAAAATCCCTTCTGATTTAGATGTCCCATGATGTTAGCACAGATGTGGTTCATAGCAGGCCGCAGGGTTTCACCTTCCAGGTTAAAACAGTGACATTATTAAAACAATATCACAGCTGCACTGCTTATTCTCTTACAAGCTAGAAAGTGATTTATCAGCTTAAACTCTTCTTGCACAATTGCTTTCCCCTATATGAAAGGCAACCATTTTAGCAGTATTTTACATCAAATCTTGGTAAAACACTTAAGCTATAAGAGTCATATTTCCTCACTATACTTATTTACCTTATCTAGGTATTCCCTGCAAAAACACAAAGTATGTATTCCTATATCCTCTGAATACTTCTGATATGAGAGACACTTAGATCTGTGCCTTTACTGAACTGGATGCACCAACCTTTTCCCCGAAGGATTTTCCAGGTAGAAGTGTCTGTGAAAGTGACAAGCATTGTGAGGTGCAAATTGACCAGTCTAGACTCTTGCAAGATGTCAGGCTGCAATAACAAACACCAATATAATAAACTTTATTAGCTCTGTGCTAACCTACAGATCTGTTAGATGCAAGCAAACAAAACAAAATAATATTAATTACCTTAAGCTGCTTGAGAAATTCACAGCAAAACCACAAAATATCTTTGATCTGTTTGATCCATAAGAGTGTGAGATCCTTGGAGAGTGCCAGTGACACATACCACACCTGAGGAAGGCAGGACACAAATGGGAGCAGTGATCAGTATTTGTGCTACTGATAGGCAAGATACATTACCAGGAAGCTTTGTAACAAATGACCTCCTCAGGGCCCCACTGAGCCCAGCAGTGGAGCCAAGTTATTTCTCTTAGAAAACACTTGGTCAAAGCATTCCAGCCACCACAGAAAGGCACTGTAAAAACATTAGAGGAATTCGGAGGAACCTGTCCAAACATTCACCATGGTAATCTCAGGAGCTTTTGAAAGCTAAATAATTTAAATAACACCAACCTAAATCTCTACACACAGATCCCCTCTCCTCCCACCCAAAATCCTGCTGACCTTTGGTTCATTCTCAACATCCATGCTATTAAGAATACAACGGCACAGCTTTTCAAATCTCTGCAAAACAAAAGAAAAGAGGTAATATTAGCTCTAACCACAGTAAGGGCTATTCTGGAAAAGCACTAGGAACAGCTCAGCAGAGGGAGCAGGGTATCTGCATATCAAAACAAATGTTATACACGCATTCCCCATTGACAGTGCTGATGCCTCATTCCCTGAAAGCTCATCTACACATCATGCCAGAGCATTGCAGAAGATGTGTCTGTGCCAGGACAGATCTCTGTTGATTTGCCACAGTGTACATGCCTGTAGAACTGATAGGGCAAACAAAATTTCAAGGCACTGCTCAATTACTGATGCTGGCATGGTCAGCAGGAAAAACATCTGTCAACCTGTGCCCTGAGAACGGAACTACTACTGAAAAATTCAAGGGTTCTTCTGTTTCAGTCCTATGGGCAGACTTCTCCAAGAAGAGCAGAGATCACATTTCTGAAGCCAAAATATATTGCAGGTACCTACACGATCACTAGATAATATATTAACATGTTGAATATGTTCAGATAGTGTCACTGGAAGAAGAATATCAGAGTAGAAACCTTACCTCTTTGTCCTCCTTATGATTAAATACAAACAGCAGCTTCCTAGCAATTCTGAAGACAGAAAGAGCACTTCTTTTACTTGCCCCAGATTCAGCTGTCTGAAAGAAGTCCTCCACTTCTCTCCTAGGAAAGAGAGAAATATGAGCAGTAGTTACAAACCCACCTCTCCAGATCACAGCAAGGCACAGAGGGCAGAACCCCACACACCTGATCTCCTTCTGCAGGTGACATCGGCAGAGGAACCTCCTGACCAGTGCCTGGATCTGCACAGCAGCACGCTCCCTCTCCTTCAGCTCACGCCGCTCCTCGCGGGCCTGCCGTGCTTTGTCCAGGAACTGGGCTTTGGAGGACTGGCTGGCACTGAACATCTTTATGACTGACCAAGAGGTGAATGTAATGGAACGATCCTTGCAGCGAGCACATGAGGAAGGAAGAGCAAAGAAGAAAACACACAAAGGCGATTCAGTTGTTAGGCCTGCACGCATCTGACTTTTAAATGGGGGAGGGAGGGTATTCAACAGCACAGAACCAATGAGGCAAAATGCAGCCTTTGCAAAGGCCAAGTTACCTGGCAATGAGTCTGCAATAGGAAAACACAGATATCTACATGGATAGAATATATACATCAGACATCATCTGAGTGAAGTCTGCACCCCAATGCAGGCATGCAGATTTTAAAAGCAAAGTAAACGAGTGAACAACAATCAGTGCTCTGTAGTCATTATGATGTGCTCCTCTTGCTCCAGCTCTCCTTTCCAGCCCGATGCATTCTCTGTAAGCAAGAAAATTAACGTAACTAATAACAGACCTACAGACCATTATAAAAAGGATGAAGAAACCTCGGAAGGCAATTTCTTGCTGCCGAACCAGACAAAACGCACAGAGCCACCACCGCCACCTCTGCCAACACCCGAACCTGAGCTCATCTGAGGCGAGCCAAGCGCGAGGCACCCACTGCCCGCAGGCAAGAGCCCGCCCAGCCGCTCCGCCCCGCGCTGAGGGCGGCTGTTGGGCGATTTGCCCCACTCACCTCTCCCCGCACACCCCCAAGAACGCGGCGGAGGCGATGCGGCCCCGCGGACAGCGGCACCCGGAGCCCGGGGCCAGCCTAAAGCAGGGAACGGCCTCACACAGCCCGGAGCGACATCCGGAGACTCGGAGCCCGCCGCTGCCGAGCGGGGCCCCGGGCAGCCCGTTAGGCCGAGCCCGGCAGCCCCGTCCGTGCTGCGGCTCCGGCCGGCAACCTGCACCGCTCCTTTACTGTTCCGCCCGCCCGCCCGCTCGCTCGCTCCCTCCTTCCCACGCACCGCTCCGGTTGTGCCGCGGTTCAGCGAGCCCAACCCGCTCCGTTCCCCGCCGCTCCGCCCGCTGGGGCCTCGCCGCTCTCCGGCCTCCCCTCCTCTCGCGGCCCGGCCCCGCCTGACAGAGCTGAGAGGGCGCATCGGAACGCTTTAGGAAGCGCACCAGCGCCCACCGGAAGTAGACGCGCGTCGGACCGGAAGTGGGCGGAGCAGGGCGGAAGTTCCCCGCCCGGCGGTCGGCACGTTCGCTCCGTGGGGCTGCGTCGCGCCCTTCATGGTGAGGAGGAGGCGGCGGGGCTGGGAGGGAACGGGAGGACCCGGGGGTTCCGCTCTGGTTCCTAGAAGGCGGGGATGAGGCCGAGCCCCCGGGATGAGCTTCGGCGCGGCGGAGGTGGCTCAGGGCTTTGGGGCCGGGACATCAAGGCGCTCTGTGAGAGAAGTCACGGCGGCCCCGGGGCCCAGCGCGGCTTCCCGGGTGCTGGCGGATTGCTCTGCTTTTTATAGCAGCGGGGCTGGAATCAATTAGCGCGGTAATCAGCCAGCTGAAAGGTGTCGGGCCTGGAGCTGTCCACATAAGGCGGCTGCAGGCTTCGTGTCTCAGCACGTTGCAACGCGGAGACAGAGTTTGATGTAATGTTGTCTTTTTTCTGACACGACACGAAGCCTCGTTAGCTCCCCTGGGTCAATTTGGGCTGAGCATTATGGGGCAGACAGGATACTGAGCAGCAGTTCTGTGTGCTGGGAGACATGGGAGCACTGTGGGGAGCTTTAAGGAGACAGAAAGCCTCTAGGAAACGTTGTTTCCTTTGGAGGTGTGCTTCATCTGTGCGCTGGGAATGGCCCCAGTTGGTTATGTATGAAATAAAGCTTTAAAAGTTGTGAAAGAAATGGATGCAGCTTTTGTCTGACAGAGGGAAAGATTTGATTTCCACAGTGCTTAGTACCCGAGGAGCTCTTCCCTGGATGAGCTGCTTGGCTTCCTTTGGCTGCTGTCTGTCGCTAAAAAGGCAACGTTAAACACCCAAAGCGTTTGGGAACATTTCAAAGAGGTGCTGAGGCTGGGTCCTTACAGGGCTCTGATTGGTGACTCCTTGCTTGCAGGAAGAGATGTCGGGAGAAAGCGTGGTGAGCTCAGCAGTGCCGGCAGCTGCCACCCGCACGACCTCCTTCAAAGGAACAAGCCCAAGCTCCAAGTATGTCAAGCTGAACATCGGTGGGGCCCTGTACTACACCACCATGCAGACACTGACCAAGCAGGACACCATGCTCAAAGCCATGTTCAGTGGGAGAATGGAGGTTCTGACAGACAGTGAAGGTAAGGGTGCGCCTTGCTTCCCTCCTACTGCTCCAACTGGTCGAGAGAGGTTGGACCGAAAGTTGGAGAAGAGGGAGAAATGTGTAGTGATGGGCCCTTCTGATTAGTGTTGAAGTTCATCTTAGACAGTTGATGAAAGATGTGGGATGAGGGATACGTGTGGCTTGACTAGTTGGCTAAACACCAAAAGGGTGCTGAGAACCAGAAGGGGCTCCTCTCAGGCCCAGATAGCACAGGCTGGCTTTTTCTTTTGAAATGCTAACACAAAAGCTCTTAAGTATGTGGAAAATTGTGAGGATTGTGGTTGAGAAACTATGAGTCAGGACTTGCGTATTTACTTGGAAGCTCAGAAGGCTGTTTCCTCATCTTGTTTCCTTATCTGAAATATAAATATAAAACTTGGAAGTGGGATGCTTTTTGAGCAAAAAGATGATTTTGGAAGTCTGAGTTTATTTTCATGTGGGAATACAGGTTGTTGGCTCCACAGTGTAAATTCTTTAGAAACTTTGCTGTGGTATTACAAACAACAAAAGAAAGGAGTGAGGAGGAGGGTCTCTTCAAATTAAATATCTGCAAAGCAAGAATGTGCAGTGTGTTAAACTGCAGCCTTCTACAGGAGCAGCATTCAAATACTTTGCTTCCTTACCAGATACATTGGCTTTTTCTAATCCTGAGATGCTTAAAGATGTTTACATTCAAACTAATACCGAAGCTGAAATGTGTTTGTGTGATGACTGTTTGCAGCTGCTGCTGTAGTTTCATGTCAGTGTTTTCATTTTGTGGGAGCATCACGGAGCTTAATTCAAAGTGGGGCTTTCAATTTATATGCTGGCACTTTGCCTATATCAGTGTTTATCAGTGTGGATACCTTTTCTGTAACAATAGCTGCCACGCTGCTGATCCTACAGTTCTGACACACCTTCCTTGTGGCTGGCTAATTATTTGAAATTTTGTTTGAACCTGCTGAAAGCAGAAAAAATGTATGGCTTCATTAGGTGAATTGGACTTTAGCGCTTTAGGAGAGCCTGTATTTAGAGGCCACGTGGAACAAGTAATGGATTTAGTAGGGCTCCCATAATAAGCTTTCTTGAACTAGGAAAAATCGGATTGGAAGGAGAAAAAATGTAAAATAAAAAAAACCCCAACAACTTAATCATCGGAATATCCCTATATTAGCTACAAGTGCTTCTGTTTAAGCTGGAGGGAAAGTGAAAGGCTGCATTGTTGCAGTTGTTTTACCATGCCTTTTGCAGCTTTCAGCTGCTGTATGGCATTAGCACTGATCTGTGGGCTGCAGGTCAAGGTGCAGAGTTTGTCTCCCTGTAGGTGCAGGTTCTTTCTCCTGGAGAGCAGCAGACAATAGTACTCCAGATCCAGAGTTTACTCTGCCAAGATGTCATGCTTAAGATGTAAAATCCCATACTTATTTTGCTGTGAATTCCACTGTGTCTGCATGGGACTGTTCCATTTAGCTAATTTGTGCTTTAATAGGAATGTGATACTTCCTGTATATTGTAACTGAGACACTCCCATGGCAGTAGCTTTTGCTTTATCTCCCTCTTGCTGGCACGTTGCTGGAAACTGGGACAATGGTGTTAGAGCTGTCAGAGGAAGCTCTCTGTATCTGAAGTTGGTCAAAATACTGTCAATTGGTCGCACCCAAAGTCTGGCACCAAACAGAGTTTCTCAGGAAAAGGAGCCAGACTTGCAAAGAAACTGGAAAGAATAGAGGTGTTTTTTTGTTGTTTTTTTTTTTTTGCAATCTGTGGAATGTTTCACACTGCGTGTCTTTCTCTTCATTTGGATGCATTCTTCTGACCCCAGTGCCATCATCTGAGCTCTTTCTCAAAGCGTAACAATGACAACAAGCTGCTGCTTGGACTCCAGGAGAAGAGATGAGTTCTCTGCTGGGGAGTGACAGATGATTATTTTCAGCTTAGGACTTGTTCATGAGCAAGTCAGTGTATTTTAAATATTTTATTTTGTGGCAAGAAGAGGGTAGAAGGCTGTGGGTTTTCCAAGTGCCTTCATCTGTTTCCAGTTTTCCTTTCTGCAGTGTGAACTTTCCCTCTCTTCACATCACTGTTAACTGGTTGATCAGGGTGGGTGTTTCTTTGGCTGGCTGTTTGTAAGGCTGTCAAGCATCAGGCATCAGTGTCAGGCTGTTGTTTCATCTGGCAGAGCTTGGTTGGAAAATGTAGCCTTGTTTAGTGGTTGGAAGCTGTCCCCAAGATGTCTTGTTAAAAAGGAAAATAAATTTCCTAAAGATCAAATGTGTGTACGTGCATTTCATGAACGCTGTATACCTAATCCACTACATGGATTGCAGCACATTTTTGTAATGCTGCAGTTAAAAAATGGCTTTAAAAGGCTGAAAACCCACTTCTTAGGCCCTGCACAGCCATAACTGAGTGGCAGCAGGGTCACCTTCCTGTGAGTCATCTCCTTTTGGCTGTGGCTTTGGCTGTTTGGTTAAAACAGAAGGGTTTTTTGAAAGCTGCTTTAGCAGACACTTCTGTTTTGCAATGCTGCTCAAAATATTTTCTCATCCCCCCCCTCCTCTGTCTCAAAGTGAGCAATTCTGCTTTGGTTTTGCCATCTGTAAGCAGAAAGTTGCAGCACATTTTTACAGCCTACAGAAGGGCTTGTGGCAGAGATGATAACAAAGAAGTTTGGGGGTCATAATTCTGCTCTCAACCTGCTCGTTACTTCCCTTCAGGTTGTGCTGAACTCCGGTAAACACTTTGTCAATGGCTGCATTTTTGGGAATATGGATGTTCTTGTTTATTAGCATGCCCTGTGTTCCCTTGTCTCTTTAAAATGGGAGAGCTCTGCATTGACAAATGGGCTTTTTTCTTCTCTGGTTTGATAGATGTACTGCGTTTATTAGCCTGGATCGGTCTTTTGTTCTTTCATTTCTCTGCTTCTAGTTATCCTGCCTTCAGCTTTCCAGTTTGTTATTACAGTCTGTAAAATTACAATTGCAAGCATACATTGTGTAGACAGCAGGGTAATGAGGGAGACGGAGAGCCCATAGTAAACTGCTGGAGAGTGTCTCAGTTTTTCCTCAGAACAGCATGAAAGGGCTGTGTTCGCTTTCCAAATTTCCCCAAATGTTCAGATTTTTACTAGTAATTCCATTCATGCAGAACGTACAGGCTCTGCTTTAACCTACTTTCCTTATTTGTCCAAAATATGACTCCTTCCCCACAAGCGTTTCCTCGCTGCATTCCTGAGCTGCAGCCCATCAGGGTGGCCAGCTGTTCATTTATGGAAACTTGAGGCTCAACATTGCGTAAGGCTTCTCAGGGTCCAGCAGCAGACTGGCAGCAAGAGGTGAGACAGGGATCCTCCCATCACAACTAACTGGAAAGTGCTTTGTTGTGGCTGTTTTCTTTCCTTTACCTCATTCCCATCATCCATACATTACATTCTGCTTGTGTGCTGTTGCATCATTGGATTTCAGCAGCTCCAGACACTGTGCCAATAAGCATTTTGTTCTACCAAATAACTTTGGGAACATGGAGACTGGAACAGAATTAGCACATCCAACATCTGCGCTTGCTCTCTTTCTGACCTTTTTTGCACATCTATTGGAGATGCTGGATCACAGTGGGTCTCACTGTGTTCAGGTGTGGAAACCTAAAGGTGATTGAGTTTGGTTGGCTGAAGTAAGAAATGTATCCGTAAGAACCAGCCACGTGTATGTGCAAGTCAGGGATTCTGTGAGTAGAGGAAAAACAGAGCTGATTGCTTTGAGAATAAGAATTCCTTCCTCTGTAACAGTTAATCATTTGTCAATAACTGGGAACTGTGAGAAACAAGTGAGCTTCCTACCTTACTCCCACATATGCACTTGAAAAATGCAGGAGGAGGCAGCGAGTTCCCTGTGCAAGTACAGCATTCTGCTGCTCTGATTGCCAAATGGAGCACGGAGCTGGAGCTCCCTTGGCAGGAATCTGCCTGGAGCAGCAGGCCTAGGCCAGGCTCAACGTCTTTTGCCACATTTGCTCTACTGTGGTCTCCTTCCCTTAGGTTGGATCCTGATTGACCGCTGCGGGAAACATTTTGGGACAATCCTGAACTATCTGCGTGACGGCGCTGTGCCACTCCCAGAGAGCCGCAGAGAGATTGAAGAGCTCTTGGCTGAAGCCAAGTACTACCTGGTCCAGGGGCTGGTGGACGAGTGCCAGGCAGCCTTGCAGGTAGGCTGTGAAGCTAACGAGGAGCTGGGTTGCTCTGGCTGCTGTGAAGGGTGGAGGTGAGGAGGCTGCTTGAGGTGGGCAGAGCTTCAGTGCGCACGGCAGGATGGACTGCTGGTGTCCACTTGCTGCCTTTCCAAAGCTGGGGTGCAGCATAAAGGCAGGTGGCACACTTAGCTTGTGGTTCTTCAGCTGTGGCACAGAATATGCAGGACATTCCCAGCTCATATGAGTGTGCCTTAAGGTCTGTTTACATTCAGCTGCTGTTTGATTCTTGTTTCAGCAGAACAAAGATGCATATGAACCATTCTGCAAGGTACCAGTCATCACTTCTTCCAAGGAAGAGCAAAAACTTATAGCCACTTCTAACAAGGTAAGAATGACCAGACTGCTGTAGCTTGGGAGGATGCTGGGATGTCCTGGGATGTGCTTGGGATCTTGACCATGTCTTTAAGAAATTATGTTTTAACAGTTGAGCTGGAAATCTACAGCAGGCTAAATGTGTCTTCTAAATTAAAAGTCAGATGTTGATCAGGCCATGTCTGTCTCCACGTAAGGTATTACAGTAGAGGCCATAGATAGAAGCAGGTTGATCAAGCAGCTCATCAGGGCTGTTAGGTCTTCCGTTGGTTTGTCCGCTCTGATAAATAACAACAGATGGTTTCTTTAGCTAAAGTGAATTGGTGACTCCTGTTTCTGCCTGCTGGCTGTGGTGGGTGAGGATGAATTACAATCTAGTCCCAGAAGGGATCAGGAGGGATTGTGTCTCCATTACCAGCTGGTACACAACAGTTTTGCAGCAGCAACAACAAAAATCCCACTGAGTTTGAGCCTAATGGTGTCGTTTCATATTGCAGCTCCTCTGCTGTGTGGTCTTGGAGCTGAGATTCCATTGCTTACTGCATGTCCTCTAACTGATGTGTATGTTGTTTTTTTTACAGCCAGCAGTGAAGTTGCTATACAACAGAAGCAACAACAAATATTCCTACACCAGGTAAATGACTTAACCTGTAGTTCTTTGAAGTTGTTCATAGACTGAATTCCATGATACATATTTGCTTTTTCTACACTCAGAACCAGTGACAGATTGGAGCTGGCATGCGCTCAATTTTTTCCCAATTAATTTCAAACTTGAGTCAGGAGGGAGTCTACTGTCATCCACAGAAGGCTGAGCATGTGCTATTTCTGTGATGGGGGTTCCTCTAACACCCAGGTACAGCTGGTAGAGACTCCTGGCCAACTGCTGGCCTACGTTCCCCATGGGCTGCAGCACTTTGGCTGAATACAGAAAGCCTGCCATAGCGTTGTCAATAAGTGGTAAAATCATTAAGTCTGGGACCTTGTCTGCCATCCCTTATGTCTGTATTTAAGTTTCATGACAAAACACTGTCTCCATCCAGCTGGTGCTAAGCTTGAATTTAGGAAGGGTTTCATCTGTCTGTGAGGATCTTGTATGCGAATGAAATGGCCTTTGACATCCATTTTGCCTGGGTGTTACTCACAGTGCTGTTGATGTGCAGTAAATGAAAGGAAGCTGGGCTTATGGGCCTGCAAATGCTCACTGCCTGAATCCTTCTGCTCTGCACTACTATTTTAATTACCCTGATGTGACCGCTGCCTTCTTTGTCTCTCACAGCAACTCTGACGACAACATGCTGAAAAACATTGAGCTATTTGATAAGCTGTCCTTGAGGTTTAATGGGAGAGTGCTCTTTATAAAAGATGTGATTGGAGACGAGATCTGCTGCTGGTCTTTCTATGGGCAGGGACGGAAGATTGCTGAAGTCTGTTGCACTTCCATTGTTTATGCTACTGAGAAAAAACAGACAAAGGTACGAGTAAACAGCAGCGGGGCCCCACTGCTTTCAGGCTGGCACCCTGACATCTGTTCCATTCTGAACACGCTTTTCATTGTCTAGCATCTCTATAGAATAATCAATGCCATTCAGAATGGGAGAGCAGTGTAGTGGAGCTCATCCTGTGGGTTTGCTGGGACAGGGACTGATTGGATGTCATGCTTAACACAGGGCAATTATGATATTACATAATGCAAGTTCAGTCTAATTCTTATCTTTAGACAAACGTGCGCTTAATCAAGTTTGTTGTCCATTCCTGTGTAAAGGCAGTGGCATACCTCCCTGTAGAGACATTTGGCCAGTTCTGAAAAAACTGCCTGCTGGGACTAAAAGGCTAAAGGCAGATAGCAAAACGTTTGTGCTAAGATGGGTGGAGTAAAGTTAAGACATTTTTAAAAACAGGGAAATTTCAGGAGGAAAATTGAGTTGTCTGCAGTGGGTAAGAGTGGCCTTCTCTCTCGGTGGGCAGGTGGAGTTCCCAGAAGCCCGCATTTATGAGGAAACACTGAACATTCTGCTGTACGAGTCCCAGGATGGCAGGGGACCCGACAACGCGCTCCTGGAAGCCACAGGAGGGGCAGCTGGCCGCTCCCATCACCTGGAGGAAGATGAGGAGCGAGAGCGCATCGAACGCGTGCGAAGGATCCACATTAAACGTCCGGATGACAGAGCCCATCTGCACCAGTGAGCTGAGTGACAGCTGCAGTGTCTGTCTGGAAGGTGCTGCCCTTCTCCTGATGGATTGTCTGCAGCAGGGGACCAGGCAGCTTCTCTTTGTTCAACGAGTCTGTAAATTACGTTTTGTAACAAAGTAGGTTATTTGGGGTATTTAAATAAGGTAGTTCTAGGATGAGAATAAATAAGGTTACTGGGCGTATGGTAGGTATGTATAAAGCCCTCTGAACATCTGGTGAAATGCCCTGAGTTTGTAGCCCTCTTGTCTTTGCTATTTTGTGGTTAGTGAGGAAGAAGACTGGCTTCTTTTGGCTTTAGTAATTATCCTGCACTTTAAAAAACAAACAAAACAACAGAAGTCAGGCAGCCACATACCTGCCCTCCTGGCTCTCACTGACCCAGGCATCGCAGCATGACAGAAGCACAGTAAAGCTGCTGCAGGGCTCCCTTTCTTCTAGGTCAGAAGGCAGTGGGGGGGGAGTAGTTCAGGAGTGCCTCAGTGTGACTGCTGGCAGGACAGGTGATAGCAGGAGAAGCACCAAGCTTGAGGCAGAGGGAACCCAGTGCTGCAAGACTGCAGGTGGCTGTGGCTTCCCACTGCTCTCAGGCCCTCCTCCCATGGTTCAGTGGAGCGTCTCAGAACTGAGTTGTGGAGAGGCCCATCCCCACTTTTTTGGTATGATTCAAGGATGGAAGATGTTGAAATTCCTCCACGAGGAGGAGCAGGAGCTAACTGTGCCTGGTGGCTTTCCCTTAGGGTGGTATTGCTATCAGTCAAAGCTCAACCCCACATTGTTATTGGGAAGTTTATTTCCCTCAGATCACCCATCAGGAAGCTGTCCATTCTTTACCACAGGTTAAAATTGATAACAGGTTTGGCACACACTGCCAGGCCCACGTAGGCTTTGAGCAAGGGCAGTGCAGAGTGCTGGTGTAGAGCTGAAGGAAGCAGCCCAGAAGAGTTAATCCCTGTTTGCCTTTATCCTGAGCATTTTCCAGTCTCTCAGCAGAAATGGCAGCTGTGTATGAAAGGATGAAGCTGAAATGTTGTGCAGAGAATGCTGTAGTGTCTGGTTTTCTGAGAGTAGTAATAAGTGGATGTTTTTATCTACCTCCTAGTCTCTTGTTGCCTAGTGCAGAGTCAAGTATCAGAGTGGTGGAAGAGAGTGTATTATTCACTAGGATTGAATGCTAAGGCTTAATGAGAAGAGCTGCAGCTGTAATGGTTAATGTAAAAAAGCTTGAGAGAGAGAAACCAGCAGTAGGAAGCCTTAAACTTTAGTCAGGGTGCCACTGTGACAGACCCCAGAGTACTTTGGCCATTTCAGACCTTCTTGATTCTTACCTGGAGTACATAATGGCTGGGTGTCCCACAGTGGCAGCTCTGCATCGCTCAGTGAGGTCCTTTGCTTCTGCAAGCTCCCTGCTGTAAGGATTCCTAGTCCTGGCTCAGCACTGATTGTGGCATATTGGCATTTTAAAAACCAAAGGCACAGTCAACATCACCAGCTGTGTTACTGATTTATTTCAGTAGCAGCCTCTGCAGCTAAGCTATTTGGGATGTAAAATAAAGCAGTAACCAGTTTGGGAGCAGCATGGACAAGTAGCTTTCAGAGTTAGGCTGAAGTCGTCTTCCTCATAACCAAAGACTTTAAGTTTCAGACAGCCAGGGGCTGTGGCAGAGTGGTCGTTATCCTTGTGTCCTCTACTCTTTCTTCAGCTCCTGACTGATAAGTAAGAATGGAGCAATTCAGCAGCTTCAGCTTTGGCTTTTCTTCTAAGCTGTACTTAATATGTCTGTCACCAGTGCAACACGCTTTGAGTTCATACAAGTCCATAGTTTAGGCTGTTGGTGTGCAGGACACACTGCCTCTCCCTTCTTGCCTTATGGGATAAGCTGGGGCGTGTGCTCTCTTTGGCACTGTGTACTTTGACACAACTGAGCTGTTTACAAGTTTCTGATCTGTAACACACTCCTAACTCTAACTGCTGCAGTTGTGTAACAAAGATGTACCGCTGTCCTGTGTTAGAACATCCCTTAACTACTGGCTGCTTGCCCTTGTTCATTAAGTCTCTCAATAAAACAAAAACAGCTCCCACAGCCACTTAATGCCATTGCACAAATGCTCTCAGCTCCTGAGCCTTTTACTTTAAATGGTTTTGCCAATAGAGCTTTCAGAGGGAGATGGGGTACAGGGCAGCTACCCTGGCCCCAAGCAGTTCTTTAGATTAGCTAGTGCTGCACGATGTTAACTGTGCTGACCTGCCTGCTTTGATTCATGCATGCTGCCTTCCAGCACCCAGCAACAGCCACCAATACTGACAGCAGAACAGTCAACTGAAATCTTATGCCTGCAGGCTATTTCCCCCCCCTCCATTGGAGTGATGCAGAAAAGCTTACCTAAAATCAGTAGCTTGTAATGCAGTTAGGGCCAAACAGTCCCATAACACCAGCCCCTGGCTTAGGGCTAAGCTGGGAATGCATTTACACCTGCAAAGCAGCCACTCCTGTACTCAGACAAGGCAGATTGTAGAGCCCACACTGAGCTCCTCCTGCTGCAGGACATCACCTGTTCAAAGCCCTTGTGGAAGTCTCCAAGCTCCAGTCTTACCTTTTAGTCTTAATGGAGTTGTTTTGTTTCATGTTCTGTACAATCATTCCCTCCTATTTTATGCACACAAAAAAAACTTAAGATGGATTTCAGTGTATGGTTGTTGTTTGCAATGTTTCATTGTTTTTTTGTTCTGTTTTGTTGGTTTTTTTTTTAAGCATAACATGAAATAAATTAGAAGATATTTCATATTTACATGAGTTGATTTATTACTTGCTTGAAGTTCAGTAGCTAGCACACTGTCCTCATGGTCCCTGGAGCTAGAAAGAACTTTCAGTAAGAAATGCTACACATCTTCCCCTAGCTGTTAGCTTTACCTCCTGGAACCACTCACAGCCAAGGCACCAGTGATCTGGCTCTCATGCAGGCTGTAGCCTCAGTCAAGGAGGAGCTACATAGGTTGGCCTCAACATGAGGCACCAGAGAGAGCAAAGGGAATTCTTGTATTCTACCTCTTCATAGCTGCCAAAATATGCAGCTTGAAGGAGCTGCACTCTTAAGGAGCAAGCAATATCTCAGCTCCTTGAATGGAGACAAAGCTTCAGTCTCTTGCTGCTGAAGGTTTCCTCTGAACCAAATTATACCAAATCAGCATGTCCCCTCTTAAAAAAGTGTGGTCACCTGTCCCATTCATCACCACTTCTGGAGTCTTACTGCACTACATAGTTGTTTTGCAGGGAAAAGCAAGGACAGTACTACTTTAAGATGTCTTCCTTCCCCCATGCCTGGAGACAAGGAAGCATCTTCCTGGGATTTCCAGATGATACACCAACCTCACTACTACATTTAAAATCATACCTCTGCATGCTGCTTGAGAGACTGAACTCTACTCACCTGCATTTCATATAGTTTCTCCTGGTTAGTACAGTGACTCAAAACACAGCCTAGAGAAGTCTTTTCCTTTTGAATCCTTCCTTCAGAGCTCTGCTACAGGTTATTAGTTGCACAGATTGACATTTTACTTGTGCAACTACCTAAACGTTACCCTGTGACAGCATGTAACAAGAATCTATGCATCCTGGAACATTACAGCAAGGTGATGAATTTATTTAGATACAACTCAGTAGTTTTAAGCTATAAAAAAAAAGGTACCTAAAAGATGCAAGCAAACTCTCAAGTCACAGCAACCCTATGGCATCAAAGATTGCAGGGGTACTGCAGGTGCTGGTCTCAGCCTGCAGACTCCTTTCCATTCCTGGTGACCAGAAACTGGAACTGCTTCTCATCAAGACTTTGCCTGGTTTGACACCTGGAATGAGAGAAAGGAATCAGTAAGTTAAATACAAATTGTGTGTCCTTGAGATTCCTATTTAACTGTTTCACAAAGACAACTCTCTTCCAGGGGTCCTTTCTAGGACTTAACTGTCTTTCTCAGAAGGGTTGAGCATCAGAGGGAAAAGCCAAAACCATGCTCTCAGTGCCCTGATGAGGCCTTACCACTGTAAGCTGTCCATCTTTGGCTTTAAAGACATGAGGCTCCGGCCCAACAGTGAACACCATTGTCCCTTCCTTCCCAGAGCCAATGCGAAACCGAAGGCTGCAAATACAGACAATTACTTCTGCAATGCTTTCCTTGCAATAGGCTTTACTCTAAGCCCACTTTATTTCTGTTCCCTTAGCAAATCTCGTTAGATTAGAAGATCAGAGCCCTTCAGCTTAGGTAAATTTCCTAAACAATTGCATTATAGCATACAGCCCAAGAGGGTTTGATGAATGGAGCATGCCTGCCTGGTCTGGGCACCTGAATTTTCCTGGAGCAATTAAGCATTAGAAGATAAGCAGATCTGACCTGGAGAAGACCACTGAACAGAAAGAATCCAATTACAATTGAAACGCAAAGGCCAGAGAGAAAAGCTGGAACAGAAGTACAGGTTTCATACGCCAGTTCCAATTTCTGTATAGATCTGAGAGATGGACCGCATCCACCTGCTTTTAGCTGGTGTGACCGAGGAAGCTCCTGCACTCAGCCATCACAATTGGAGGCCTTCTGAGTTCAGGGAGAAGCATTTATCCCAAAGTGACCCCCAGCTCAGCCCTGCAGGCTGTCCTCAGACAGAGCCAGCACTAATGGGATCTGCTGGGAGGATACTGAGCCCACAGCCTCAGGCCCAGGTCACAGCAGCAGAAAACAAACATAGCAGGTCATGCTAACTGCCTTCCTTACCTTCCCTTCACAACTTTAACAAGGTTCTGCTTGTTGGCCAGCATGCAGAGCTTAGTGACCGTCTCAAAGACGTGTTCACACTGAAGTATCACATCTCCCTGAAAGGGAAAAGAGGGGCACGAGGTCAGTGGGCAATGCACCCCACACGTAACCCAGCCAGCAGTTGTGTGTTCAGAGGAACTCCTTTCTGCACAGCCCTGGCTGCAGAGCAATGGCCACCTCCAAATCTGATTAGTTAAACATCTATTTAGGATTTGTAGCAACTGTGGCTCTGAAAAGAGAAGAGAATCCTTTCATGGTAAAGCAACAAGAATTCGAAAGTAGACATACCCGTGAATTAATAAACCCTGATAATCACATCTCAGTATTTTAAATGAAATATTAGAAGCATCAGCCACAAGACGTTTCTAACCACAAATTATCAGTGACATTTCATCTTCCTACCTTTTGTTTGTTGTCCTCAGGAACATGGATGACCACGATCCCATCACCCAGATTACTGGTAGAAATACCTGCAGAAGAAACAGCACACAGACACACAGCTGTTCTGGCCATTCTGCAGCAAAAAGCGTTCTCAGAGAGAGCATTGCTTCAAGAATCCTTTTTCCAGTGCCTTGGACAGATCAAGCATCAGAAGCAGCCCCACTTGGATTTGCACTGTTACCTTTCAAAGTGGCATAGTCTATTTTCTGCTTGATCTTGGCCATTTCCACCACATATGCTGAGGACTGGGTCAGAACCAGCAGGCGATCCCGTGCTTTGAAGCCATTCCTGTCATATTTCACCACGGGGGTTGCATACTGTGAATAAGGAGCTGGGATCAGCACCTCCCTCTGTGGGATTACGTGGAGCTGCAGGGCTTGGGATGTGAACACAGCTGCTGAGCTCCAACTTTCTTTCCTTACCTTCACCTTCTCGCCCTGGATGAGCTGCAGCACTTTGGGGTTTATATCGGTCTCTTCTGTGGATCAAACCAGAAAGACATGAATGTGGGTGGCAGACTGCTGATCCACCAGTCTTGGGAACACCAAACAGCTGCATTCATTGCATCAATCCCATTAATCCTTGTCCCATTAGATCACTCTTTTAAACTGATGGTTTAGAAACCACTCCTAACTCTATTTCAGTGATGTTTTGCCCTCAGCATGGTTTTGCACCAACAGAACAGATCCCCCAGGCTCACATCTCCTCCCCCAGCAGCTTCAGACCTTGGGGCTGGATACCCACACCGCGCTGCAGCAACCAGCTCTGCTCCATTCAGCACATTCACACACATCCCCATCAGTCCCAGCCTTTCTTGCCTGGGTTTGTCTTAAAAAGGGATTTCAGATACATCACAGCCTGATGCAAAGCCTGGGGCACTGATTGCCAGCAGCCACCAAACACAACGGGACAAAGGAATTGGAATGGTGGGGTCCCAGCACATGTACTCACTCAGCCGCGTGTCCGCAAAGGGCAGGTTTATGCTCTGCTGGTAGCCCTCCTTCTTTCCTCTGAAAATGGCACTTGTGACAGCTTTTTGCTGTAACTGTTAAGAGAAGGAACACCCTCTACCCTCTCAGTTTCTCCACGAGCAGCAGCAGTTATAGCATATAGTGTAGTGTAAGCTATGGATAGCATTGTCCTCTCACTCGTGCAACTCGGGTCAAATGAAAACTGCATTTCTTCCTTAATTTGTTCCCAAATTATACTAAGTAAAGACATAATAAGGACTAAACAGCCTTAAAGACTCTCTTGTTATGGATCTGTTCCAGTTAGATGACGTTCAGATTTAACATCACAAGATTAAGGTCTACGCATCTGTAGAACTGCCCTGTATGTTACAATGCCAGGCTCAGAAGCATTTGCTCAGCAGAAGAAGAGGTGGCAGTCAGAAAGAACAGCTTGCACTGGGAGCAATTTACACACATCACGTGTGTGCAGCAACTTCCAACTTGCACGTTTGCATCCCACGCATTAGTTACCTGCACTTTCCTCTCAGGAGTGACACCTCGGCAGTATTTCCGTACTAGGTTCCTAATACACATTTTCTGCAGCATCTCAGATATCTACATTACAAAAAAAAGAAGCAATAAAAAGATCAAAAAGGAAATGCAGTTGTCAGAGCAGCTTCACAACCTGAGGTCAGCGCACAAGAGAGACCTGCAGCAAACCTCACCTCTTCCAGGATGGAAGGAGGTTGGAGCCAGCTCTTGTCCAAGACGTTTCTGGGGATGTGATCTCTAAGCTTCATGAGATATTTGTACTGCACAAGCCGCACAAATTCAATGTTCTCTGGGCACAGAGGTTTCTTCCGATTGATGAAACCCTTTATGAATCTACAGAAGATATCCAAATCAGGACTTCCACATTACACTCAAATCAATGGAAGTGCAAGGCAGTCATCACAAGAGACACATAATGGGCTAATAATAGGGACAGTTTAGCAACAAGCATGAAGGTGCCTTGGTTTCCCTGCCCAGGAGCCACAATCACACTGTGACCCACCACCTGCAGCCCTCCCCATGGGGATAGTTACTTCCTGATGATCTCAACAGCCCAGGTCCTCCTCTTGGCCTCCTTCCGTGCCAGCACTCCTCGCCAACAAGCCTCCAGCTTGATAGCTGCAAGAGTCATGCATTAGTACCAGAGATCCTGTGCCATGCTGTCCTCCAAATTCATGGGGCAGGAATTATACTTGACTCTTCCCTTCAGCTGATCTTTACAGAACTGTAGAATATTAAGGTTGGAGGAGACCTCCAAGATCCTCAAGCCCAACCCCACCCCATGCCTATTAACCATATACCTCAATGCCACAGCTCCACATTTCCTGAACACCTCTAGGGACAATGACCCCTCCACAACCCTGGCAGCCAGTGCCTGACTGCTCTTTGGGAGAAGAAATTGTTCCTAATATGCAATCTGAACTTCTCCTGGAGCAACCTGAGGTCATTAGTGAACCTAACACCAACAGAACCCACAGAAGCAAAAATTTCTACCCACAAGAAAATAGATTCATGACTTCTCAAGGCTACAACTTCTACCAGAAAACAGCCCTGAGAAGAGAACCCTTGATTCCAGGAGCCCATACCTGCTTTTCTCTTCTTCTGGTAGTCTCTCTTCCCAAGGCGTCCTTTATATTTGGCTTGTAGTCTTGAAACTGACAAAGAAGCAGAGACATGCTTATACCTAACAAGATCCCTGAGATTGAAGGCACAGCTCCTGATCTCAATGATCAGACACAGGAATTCCTGCACAACCAGGTACAAAGGACTAACAAAGCAGGAACAAAGGTAGCCTGCACAGAACGTCCTTCAGCACAGAGATTTAAGCAGCTACAATCAGGTAACACTCAGGACGAGTCTCAGCTCTCATCTCTGCATCTGGATCCCACAAACACTGCCCACTCAGCCTCTGCTTTCTGTCTGTATGATAAAGAGAACTGGAACCATACCTAACAGGTGCTTTCTTATTTCAAACGCATCTTCAGTAGCAAACAGAGTCTTTGGGAAACGAATGAATATTTTGGTTCTGAAAAAAAGAGACCAGGAACAGGTTATTCACAGTGAGCCTGCATTGTCTTGGACTAGCAGGTCTGGTGCTGAGCCAGAGGAACCCATTCCTCCTAACCCAGAGGAAGAAAAAATGAGGCTGGATTCAAGCCCCAGAGAAATACAAAAGTGTGAAAAGCAAGTGGTGACGCACACCTCTGGGACTCCTTGCCCCATACCTTCAGGGTGAGTTTACTTTGCCCTGTTTTAAGGTCATTAAGAAGAAACCCTCAGGCTTGCAGACCCAAGTAGCTCTGCCCAATTCATGTGGCCAGACAAAAACCAACTCAAGGGACCTGCTTCACACTGCCACATCTTGCAGCTCCCTGGGCTCGTGGTCACAGACAGAACAATCAGAATGGCAAGCACTGTGCAGCCAACTAACAGAGATAAGAACTAGAGAAAGAAATTTACCTTCCCAATTTGTATTCCTCAGGCTTATAACCTATGTGCTTGATAAGCCTCTCCACACCTTCAGCTGCAGGCCCGTGCCAGTGTGGCCAGGTAGCAGGACACAGGGATTTATACCTGAAAGATCATCAGGACATCACTGTAAGTGAATTGATGTTGGGGCATTTCTCCCTGAGCAGCCCCCAGTTCCTATTCTTCATTCAAAGCAGATCAACATGGGTACAGATCAAAACCACCTGTGAACGTTATGTTTGGTGCAGAAGAAAAGCCCAGTGCCTCTGCACCTTAGAACTAGGACGAGACGTTTAAATAAATCTTGATCTGAAGCCCCATGGGAAGGCAGATTCTGGCTGTACAGGAAAACAGCTCTGCTCACCTTTGCAAGAAGTGCTCATACTTGCGCCGATACGCAAAGCCAGCCCGTCTCACACGCAGGTGCTCCATCAGCCCCAGGTATTTCACCTGATGTCGGATCAGGCAATCATCAAACTTCCCTGCAGTAAACACGCATCCACTGATAAATACTATATGTGAAAGCTCACTCACATATCCATCTATTGGGAGATATATGGAAGAAATCAAGCCCACCATTACCCTGCACCTCCTCACTCCGTTACTTCAACAGTGCACTAAGCCTAACGCCTTACCTGGTTCCTTGTTCTCATTTGGTTTAATGCATCGGATGTAAGAAGGCTCCTTGGACATCAGGATTTCTATCAGACTCATCAGGCTGTTTTTGAACTGGGTTGCAACCTAAGATGACATTGAGAGAAAGACTTCTCAGCTTTGAAACTCAAGCACTGCGGGATTGAAGTCAACTCATTCACTGCACTCCTCTTAAAGCCAAGAGAAAGGCTGACATACGCATTAGCACAATTTAGAAACATAGTTAATCATGAGCTAACTGGACAGAGTGCTTAGCTGGAGAATTTGAGTCTCTGCCATACATCTGGACACGCAAGGTAGCCCTTCAGAAACCGGAGGCTGCTGGATGCTGTGCTCAGAGCTCATTTTAGAATGATGCATTAATAACAACAGCAGGCTATGCCACATTGCTTGCTGCTGCCTCAGCATCATCTCTGTTCGCCTACAAGAAAGCTAAAAAAAAATCCTCAAAAACAAAACAAATGCACTGAATTCAGGAGCAATGCAGGGAAATGCAGACTCGGGAAGTAAAACCACTGTTCAAAGTTTAGATTGAACATTACACTCACAGTCTCTGGCCTCCTCCTGCTGTCCAGTTCTGACAGTAGAAAGCACTCTCTAATGATTCCGTTTTTAGAGTTGCACAGCACCTGAAACACAATCAGTGAGAAACTGTCATATTTAGCATACATGCCTTCCTAGGGTGCCATAAGAACACACAGCACAGATTCAAGCAACAGCCTCCAGTGCTAGAAGCTAAACCTAGAAGAGACTCCTTCACATGCACAGCTCCGGAGCCAGAAATCAGGGATCTGCTAGAAGGACAGCCAGCTCTGCACTGAAGTTTGATGTACAAAGTTTAAGACCAGAAGCAGCCTGATTTCCCAAGTTCAGGTCACCAGGCCACCTATGGCTCCAGCATGAAGCTGCTGTATCTGCCCAATAAAAGCCTTTGCACTGGTCTCAATTTCAATGGAGGACAGTGCTCTTTTATAAAGACAGGTTTCAGAGGAATGTCAAATGCTAAAGAGAAACACATGTTCCTGATTGCTACTGAGATTAAATATAGCTTCAGCAAAACATCACTTCTAGCAAGATGCTTGGGGAAGAGCATCCTCTTACTGCTCTTACCTCTTTCAGGTTTCTGTACAGGAGATCATTGTTCTTTTCCAGAAATCCTGAAGAGAAAAAAGGCTTTGTTCCATTAGAAGGCTCTAGCACAGGTGGGCAAGCACTGGCTTCACTGGGAAGCAGCTGGGTGCCACCCCAAGGGCCCAGCACACCTTGTGGATAGCACCCTCGTGTGGAGTCAGTGCCCACATTCCATCTGCCACATTGGCATAAGTGTGCAAGTAACATCAGAACAGCTCCTCGGTCACACTCACCAACTGCACAGTATGTGACTTCCCCTGCGTAGTGAAGGAGGCGGAAATCCACCCAGTCAATGGATTTTCGTGTTTTCTGATCTGCAAGCTTGCGACTACAGGGAGATAAAAAAAAAAGCAAAAAATCCCAAGAGAAAACAGCAGATTTCTTCAGCCTGTAAAAAGACACCTGTGCAAAAAGCAGCTGTGTGACAGCTGGAAGCGTACTGAGTGTCTGCTCCTATCAGTGTGGCTCTGATTATATAGTTACAACCCATAATCAGAAGAACTGCCTCTCCGTTCTGAACAGCTCACAGCAAATTTAGTGCTGGAGAATCGGAGTCATTGACCACAAACTCCTCAAAACATCTGCAAAGCATCCATTGCCATTTGGCGACAATCACTCTGCCTGGAAGATGGCTTCTCCCTATGACATTCATTTAAATACATTCTCATAGCCTCCATACTAAGATCACCACCACTTTCGTCAACTTCAAACCAAAACCAGAGGAAAAGCATCATTTGAGAAACTGTGCCCTGGGGACAAGAATAGAAATAAGGAGGAATCACAGTTGTAAAGAATAGCAGGAAATATTAGAAAGTAAGGACTGGGAAGAAAAAGAACAACTTTGCAGTATAAATCCCAGCTTTGCAAGCAGTCACTAACAGCACTGAGCTGTGTCACAACAGCACATTAGTACATCAAAAGTTTTGTTCCAAGAGCACTGCCAAGTACAGCTCCTATTTAAGTAGCGCTAATGTTTCTATTTAACACTTCTAATCACACAGAGCAGTTTTAAGGCACACTGCAGTGATGAGGAAGTTGGCTACAGATTTTCCACTCAGCTTTGATGATCAGAAACATAGAAAGTGACAATTCAGCAGCATGACTCTGAACTGATGATGAGCAGAAGCCTTTCAGTAGGGCTCTGCTGGGAACTGCCAGAACGGCCTCGCATCAAAGCGTTAGCCAGCAAAACAGGATATGCAAATAACATAAACTGAGTCCTGACTGAAAGTACTCATCATTTGGGGGATGCAGACAAAGGTATCTTTCTTTCCTCTTCAGATCTAAAGCTCACACACGTATCCAGACGGACTCTTGAAAAATTATCTACATCCACCATACAGCTTTGGGGTCTTAGGCTCCTCTTCACAATACCTACATCTTCCCCTGGTCAATAGGGGACAAAACAATCCAATAGTCTTAAAGTCAACCCCTTTTCTTTCTTTGTTTTTTTTTTTTTTTTTCCTTTTTGCAAGATACATACAAGTACAAAGCAGGACTCCACAGTACAACCTACTTAATACCACCAGACATTAGAGCATTACAGTGGTAGACAACAGACAGGCTGCTTGATTTTCTCTGGTACAGAGCAAAACTTTTTCCTCCCCCAGTACTCATAGTACCACAGAACATCCTGAGTTGGAAGAGAACCCTAAGAATTTCAAGTCCAACTTCTGCTCTGTTATGGGTAAGAGATGGGAAATTTTCCTTTGTGGTAGGATACAAAGCATAAATGCATACGTCACGAAGTGGGCATGGTCTCCTACTTTCTCTTCCAGCTTTTCCAAGAAGCTCAAGTCAGTTGCTTCACCAGGTCGTAAGCACTCTTCATCCTAAAAGAGCAGACACCAGATAGAAGGATGCTCTGAACAGATCATTCCCTCCTCAGTAACATTTAGCACCACATTGTTCAGCAAAACTAGAGAGTTTGGCCACAATTACCAAGGTCTGCCCAATGTAAGCAGTTTGCTGGTTAAACATGGAATTCTGTTTATCTGATTTCAGTAGAACTAACACAATAAATCAAGATAAATCAGATCTGCCATTTTCTTCCAGATTCGGCAATGCCCTGACTCATCCTTTATTGTTTATAGCCCATTTAAACAAAAAGATGATGTAACTAGACCCAAAATCCAGACAGACTTACAGGATTTTTTATCTGGATGAATCAGTCTTTGTTTACAAGGTCTATTTGTTTAGATCCTGAATAACACAGAACCACCACATAATTAGAACTGATTATGAACCACTACAACAGAGCACAGGCAAGCATGATAATTTAAGTAGTACAAACCAGAATGGAAATTATTCCTTTATGTTTCTGCTCAACCAAGTCACAGATGATCTTGTTGTTAAAATACGGAATTGGTTCCCACTGGAAATAAGAGGATAAAGAAGAGATTGGGGAATGTTCTTCCCCTTCCAGAGATGTGAATTAAGACTAGGCCAAATTAAATTTCAAAAGGGTTACAGAAAGAGATCCTTGGCTATCTTATACCTCTCACAGGAGCAATGCGAAAATGAACTCTACAAATTTGGGAATCATCTCCTTGGTAGAAAGAATGCAAGGTATACTGAAGCAGAATAACCTTAGATGAGAATTATTTAAGATGAGACCATGCATATACTCAAAGTATAGCTTTCTGCATGGGCACAAGGAAACACTGCAGTTGAGACAGACAAGATGCCTTCTTCATTAATGATCAAAAGCAATCCATGCAGTGGCTGTTCAAAGGAGACAAAGAGGTGGAGAATAATGAATTACCTCTATTCCTTCCATTTCGTACTCCTCCTGCTCTGCCTTTAAGGTCATCTCAATCAACAGTTGCTGGAGTTTCTCATTGCAGTAATTAATACAGAACTGCTCAAAGCTTCAGAGTTGTTAAATGAGAAATATTTTTTAATTACTTCATGGACACAGTTCTACTTTTCCCACCGCCACCTACTGTTCTCCAGCCAAACAGTCCAGTTCTCTGCAGATTAAACCTCAAGATTTTTATTAAAAAGCAACAAGGTTTTTATTTACTTACTGAGCTAACCCAGTGCATTTGCAGCCACTTTTCTTGTTTTGCTGGGACAAGACTATGGTCAAAAAGTCCTGTAGGGTTCAGCACACACTCCCACCGCCACAAGGACAGATTGCCCCCCACTCTCAGAAACTGCTGTTACCTGTTTGTGTCCAGCACTTCAAAGCCATAGATATCCAGCAGGCCAATGACAGTCTTACGAGTTGAATCCTGTTAAAGACACAACTTGTATCTATTGCTGCAGCTAAAGCTTCTTCCCTGCACAGTTTTGTGTTGCTTTTTTCTTCTTTAAACTTCTTTTAAACTTCTACTTTGAGATTCCAAAGGAGTAAATCACAGCATCATTAAGGTTGGAAATGACCTGTAAGGTCATTAAATCCAACCACAAACCCATCACCACCATGAGTGGACACAATGAAGCAGGAAACTCAGTACAAGAAATATTTAACAGACCACCTTCCACACTTCTTACCTAGCTTTAAAGTTTTTCAACTCAGAGCTGTGGGATGACCCTACATTACTGAGTGTGCATGGTATTTGCTCACGTGTGCTGTTGGGCCTTAACTGGAGGAGCTCCAAAATTCTAGGAGGACACCAGACAAGGAACCAACCTTGTTGGCTAAGGAGCCATTAATTTTGTTGACCAGCCAGGTGAAAGTCCGTCCATAAATTGCCTTTGCTACAGCATCCCGAGCATAGAATGCCAGATCAACATTCAACGGGCTTAAGACCTAGAAGTAAAGATACACCAGATGCAATAAAGAACATACCTCATCACAGCAAACTTCTGCAAAACTAGTTCATACTTCTGGCACGGAGAACCAGCAACTCTACCTACAGCTTTGTTTACTGTTATTATTTCAGTCTGGTGCATCTCCATGTCAGCAGGACTGTGATACTACATTTTGGAAAGTACTAAACATCGGAGAACTGGGAGTGCCTTTCCTCACTTCTTTTAGTTTTATTTTATTAAACTTAGTACAAACTCAAGTTCAAAGAATAGTTTATACAGTGCTATTCTCTATTTATGCTGTCTGGTTTCCCAAGAAGCACTCCAGGAACTAAACAAATGGAAATTGTTTGGCTCAAACACACAGCTGCTTGCAAGTCCCTGTTCCCAGCTTTCTAGTAGTTACCAGTTCATTCAGCCAGAATATTCAAAACTAAAAGAGTCACCCTATTAAAGTCTCAGGCTAGAACAGCAAGGCAATACAGATGAGGAGAAGGACAGCCAAATTAATCTGTTTCAGTTGAAACACCATTGTGAGCACAACTCCTCATCTGTCCCTGCACTGGTTCCAGCTGCTCAGTACCTCTTCGGAGCGGGCTTCAATCTTCCGATGGGTGAGGGATTCCTGCAGAATGGACAAGTGGACACCCAGGAGCTGGAGAGAAACAAACACTGCTCTCAGTATGGACAGCAGGAGACTGCTGAAACAGTACTGTATGTATGATCATTAGGGCACATCTCCTAAGTTTGAAATTGTTTATAGCTATACAAACGCCCAGTTCTTGCTATCATTCCACTTTGGTGAACAGACCCAAAGAAAGAAACAAAGTTAAGGCTTTCTTTATACTATTTGTTTTGCTGATACTGTCTAGGTGGTGGGAGATACCTTTGAAATCCACTTGATCTGAGTACCATTGCGAATGATGGCATGTCCATTGCTATCCTCTTCAAACTGAATGTTCCCAAGGTGCAGCACACTAGCAACTATTCCAAAGAGATGCTAATAATGGGAGATATACTGTTAGAAAACAAGTTCCTACATCTCCATGGAGCAGTGCTGGTTCTCTGCACATGCTCATAAACACATCTCAGTCCTTAGACACATCACCCAAACAAGACATCTTCCATCATTTGGATGGACTTTTGACTTCCATACCTCCAAATCTTTTTCAGTGAAGTCAATGATAGAAAAGGCTTTGCGGACTATTTTCCAGTCGTTCTTGTCATTAATAGAAAACACTTTGGCACATCGACCCTAGAAGAAAGAATTACTAAATTTCATTGGTGAATCAACAACAAACGCAGCCTGGCCATAATACTTCATTTCCTCAGCTTGTATAGAAGCAGTCTGCAGCTGTCTAGAAAGGTTACTGAACTCCTAAACCTGAAACCAACTCATTTGATCAGCTCTTTCAGCAACAATTACTTGAAACATGGCACTTGGATAGCAATTACCACCAAATGGCAGAGTGTTGTGAATAGCATGGGCTTGCAGCCATCTTCTGTTTCTATGGTAATAAAAGATCCCTACAATTCCAGACATAAAAGAGAGATAGCCAAATTCTCACTGACCTGGATGAGATAAGCATATTTCTGAGGGTTGCGCTCCAGCCCAAGCCAGCAGAGAAGATCCTTCTCTCCACCCTCTAATAATTGGTAGAAGATGTGGAAATTCCTCTCTCCGTGGTTTTGATGGACAACTCGGGATTTCTCAATCAGGTAACTGAGGATGTGCCCTCCCACTGGAGCTCCCTAGCAAAATGAAGCAGTTAGACCAGCACCAGAAAGGTGACGTCAAGATGGCTGTTCATCCAATGTAGGAGCAAGCAGCAGCATCAGGAGATGCACTGTTTCTTTCCTGCTGTCTTCTTCTATTTCAGGGATAGCATCCACCAGCAATTCAAGATATATCTGAAGAATTTCCTGTCTTCTAGTGCAACTCACCCTTTGCAACTACATATATTAAAATTCTACCAAATACTGGCAGCATTGAGAGTAATGTAGGAAGCTTTCAGGATATATAACTAGTCACCTCACTCACAAAATGCAAGACCTCTAAAAATAAGGTCAGAAATCTGCAGTGTTAGTAAGAACTAATAAATCCTGTGCTGCCTGGTAGGCATCCAAGAGGCTCACTGATAGAGCTTGTTTGAACAGCGGTTCATTAAGTTTGTTCTCACCTTAAAGTCAAATTGGATGTCCATGTATTTCCCAAATCTACTCGAGTTGTCATTTCGCAGAGTTTTTGCGTTTCCAAAAGCCTATGGATAAATAGATAAATCAAGTCACTTACAGAGAACTTGATGCAACAGGACAAAGGTTTGCTGCAGTCAAGTCCTACTACAAAATTGACAGGGATTAAAGAAACACAAACTAATATATTCCATAGCTTTAATATGGGCCTCAGCTAGACAAATTACGCCTCTTTCTAGCATGACTGTAAGCAGCATCATGAGGATCTGTTGTACACTGTACAGTGTCCTCATACTCCCAGTTTCAGCTATCCTCCTGTATAAAAACAAGTTTAATATCACTTAATGTTTAGAAATATTAAGTGCTTGTGCTACCAAGAGGCCTAATTCACACTATTCTTTTATGGTTTGCACACATAACATAAAACAAGAGTCCATTCCTGGGTGTAAGTGTACAGACAGGAAAGTCTCATGAAAGGAGGCCATCAGCAGCTCTTCTACACTGCATTCATCCAGTTTTTACCTCCAGAACAGGGTTTGACAGCAGCAGACGATCACGAACGACCTGCAGCTGCTCTGTAGTCGGACAGGTGACTGCATAGTACTGCAAGATCTTCTTGGAAGCCTCCGTCTTTCCAGCTCCACTCTCCCCAGAGATGAGGATGAAATGGTTGTTGTACTCACTGCACATCACCCGGTAGGCATTGTCAGCTATGGCATATCTGAACAAGAGTCACAAGAAGGATTCAGAGGGGAAGCATCCATTAGAAGTAGGGTGTACTCCCCAGCTAACATCTCAAGCACTGGACATGTTGGGAAAGCAGAGATCAAAACACCAGTCTGCTACCCAGAGTCTCTCAGCCTCTAAGAGACAGACAAAGCTCATTCTTTTTCCACTGTTGAAATAGGATTTGAATGGGCTGGGTATGTTTGTGGTGAATGTTGCTTATACACACTATTGACTCCTTCCAGGTCAGAGGAGCCAGTTTTTATTCCAGTGGAACAAAAAAAACCCAACTTCTGCTTATAGAAATAGATACAAAGATAACAATGGAGTCCTTGTCAAATATGCCAGGAAGAAAAACATAAACAAAACCTATCAACCTCAACTCCACTCAAATCATCTGAACATTTCCAAACACCAAAATAACTTCAACTCAGAATTCTGAATTTTCAATTTCCGCCCCGTGTCAGAAGCCCAAGCAGAGCTGTGTGAGAGCACTGAGCTAGTTCTGCAACTGCCTGCAAGACTATCTCAGAGTTTCTTCCTCTTTAGTCCCCCACCACTATTCCTCAGCCCTTCTGTTCCCCTTTTTTCACAGCCAACTAGAAGACAAATACAACCTTACCTACAGAAAAATAGGAATATTAATGCTCACCAGACTCTGGGTACACATTCTTGTAGCTCATACACAGCACCAGGGACAACATCCAATATATTCATATCAGCTGAAGTCTTAAGGATTCTACTTACAGATGTGGTGGCAGTTCAAAGAAGTTCACCCCTCGGTAAAGCTGCATCTGGGTCACTGTGTAGATATCCAGCTCTTTGTAAGGGTTGACAGATACAAGAAGAGTGCCAATGTATGTCTGCAAGAAGAAAATGCATAGAGGTGGAAAATCAGTACCATCACTAGAGAGAGAGCTTCTTGAGGAAGAGTCACATATATCACAACTTTATGGGAAAAGATGGCACAGAACTTGCGAGAAGAACAAACAAAACCAAAAGAAACCAGAAAAGCCTCACTCACCAGCTGCACCATTTCCAAGCCTCAAAGCCAACACTAAACTTTCAAAATCAACCCTGTAAGAATGGAGTGGAACCATAAAACAAACGTAATAATTATGTATGCCGTAAGGCCTTATGTTTTGATATTCTCCTGGGTGAGCGCTCTGCTGGGTACCAGCTACATCTATCAAGGTTTGTTGTCTCGGTGCTCAGTGAAACCAAAGTTAGAACTGTGCTCTCAGCAGCACTCACACTGAAACAGGCACTCACATAGATGAGGTTCTCTTGGTATCGCTTGCGGAGGTTGTTCAGGAAAGCAGCCTCACTGGTGTGGGAATCCAGAAGCACAAAGTCCTGCACCCCAACTCTGTCCCGGGCTATCAGAGCCCCCTCCATGATGATGTCGGTGTTATCTTCCACCTCTTCCTTCTACAACATAAGGGTTGCATGGTATAGGCTTAGGAGAGAGACCAGTAGCTCCCCAACCTCAGGGCCACATCAACCCAGTACAGGTAATGCCAATGTGGTGTTTACACCCTCCCCAAAGTCAGCAGTTTCACATCAATGAGCACACATGGATTTCTTTACAATCAAGAATTTTAAGACACATTACAATCAGAGAGGAAACCCAAATCTTCCAGCAGCTTTCACTATGGGAACAGTTGTTTGAAGCCTAGCTCCAAAGATCTGAGTGTGACCTGGAACACGTCATTAACTCCACCTAGACAAAGTAATTGCAAGGTCTGCAGCTGTCAGTGGAAGACACCAGACACACTTTTGCTTTCTATGCCACCAGCAACTACCTTACACATAAGAACTTCCCACGGATACACCCATCAGAACTGAGAATCCCCTGAAGAAGTTCATCTGACATAACCTCTAACTACCAATCTCAGTCCTACAGTAAGGAGGACTGAGCAAGACCACTAAGTTACCACCAATGCCCTCCACAGGCAGCTCTCAAATACGGGCAGCAGATGTCTCCACACACCAGCAAGAAATCTGCAACATGAAAAGCCCGTCCATTGATCTGATAAAACTGATTGAGCAGAGATTTGGAATAAAACCCACTAAACCTTTACTAGCCTCCCCAACCTGCTTCTCAAAAGGCTGAAATAGGCAGAAAGGATGTCACCGACAGAACATAATTCCCTCACACACTCCACTTTCAATTGTTTGTAATTAATTTGACCTTATATTGAAAATACTGCGGAGGATCAAGCTCTTGTTTCAAGGGCTATACAAATTAACCACACACTCACTGTTTCTTAATTAAAACAAGCTGATAATTTCATGTTAGCAAGCAAGCAAATATGTTTGTTACTATACAATAAATAATACCATAGGGTATCATTAAATATAAAGACCTGGGGATTACACATTTCATAGAATAACTCCTGCTGAAATACTTTCCTTACAATAGAAACTAAGGTTTTGAGCAACTTACCTTTTAGCACTCCCAGGCTTTGCAGAGACGTGCACACAAGCCCAGCACATTTGCTATTCCCATACTGCCCTCATGACACTGGAGTTTTTACATCTTGCTGCTCCACTGCTCAAGAGGTGAGCGTGCAAGGGTTTGAACATGCATTAAGAGAGAAGGCACGGTGTAAAATGTTTCTGCTAAGTTTTGGCAAGCCCTGGCTTTGGAGGTTGGCTTTTGTAAGACTGCATAGCTTCACTGGAGGATGACAGCGCATCGGACACTGAAAGCTGGTAGGTTTAGATGCATAATTTCACAAAAATAAAGAGCTAAAGCACAAGCTCATAATATGCTGACCAGAATCAGAGAGCTCTTAAACAGAGATTTTAATCAGTTCCATTTTTTAGTGCAGAATTTAAGCACTCATTTGCAGATTTATGCTCAGCAGCAACATTACCAAAACACTACAGAGAAAGATGTTCTGACAACATACTATTTAAGTCCTAACCCAGTTTATGAAGTCATACTACACTAACATCATACAAGGACTTGTTGCCTTGCTTTCCTTTATTTTTTGCCCTGAACAGCTGATACTCATTTTTCCACTCTGATTTGGCCTTAGCACAGAGCTGCCTGACGAGGTCAGAGTTTATCACTTTGGCAGAGAGGTGTCCCATAAACAATGCTTGCTGGCACTTCAGGTGGGTTTGTTCTGAGCCTGCACTCGGGACAGCCTGAGCAGCAGAATTTTACCTCCTTTCCAACCCTGGAGACCTGAAAGAGAAAGGCTGAAACCACAGCAGCCATCTAGCTGATCAGGTTTCCTTAACCTAATTCTTTCACTCGTATGTTAATTGCTAAATGACCCTCTGTTCTCTGGCAGACAAAAAATCCCATGCTCTTTTCTGGGCTGCTTTGTGCTCAGATTTTGAGCATTTTGCTATCACTGAGGTCTAGAAATCTTATGATCACAGCATAGCTTACCACCTCCTGCCCCAGCCCCACTCGTGGGAGTTTTGTCCTTACCTGGTGTCATCCTCAGTAACAGATACCCTGCAGGACTCATCAGCAGTACACATTACCCCAGCACGGTGCTGTCGACTGCTCTTTTTAAAAAGGATTGTTTTCCTTTCCTCATCACTTAACTATAAGCACCAGGAGATTTCTTTCTTGCCTACTGAGACATAAGCTCTACCAGAAAACCTATCCCTGGCTAGAGTGAGGGCTTCATTTTTCCCAAAGGGATTTGCCTATAGACACTAAAAACCATGAAACTGGTTCAAAACAATTTCATGAGACTTGTGGCTTGAGCAGGGGCTAAAACAAAGTCAGGAGCAACAGGGCAATGTGTTAGGCAAAGCTTGTAGCATAGAAACAAATCCTGGCAAGCAGCAGTTATTAAAAATTAAATTAAAATCAAGTAATCTTTGGAAGATTACTACTCATCTTTGATGAAGGCTCAGTACTCAATTTCAACAGGCTCCTAGGTTAACGTTGCTGTTTTTTTGATTTAATGCAATAGAGCTGAAGAGATGGGGAAGGAGAGGAACAGTTAGAATGCCACTGCTATTTTGGAAGCACTGAAGACACAAACCATGCCACACATCCTCCATGCAAACACACAGGTGGGAGCCTTAGGTGAGCACCATCTGTCCCAGAGCATCTTTCACATAATCTCATACCCACTCAAAGAGGCGAGCACCCAGACTGTTACCAAAATGTCACACATGCCACCAAACTCCAGATCTATTGGATCCATCCATAAGAACCCACTCCCTTACAACAGCAGAAATCTCCTTGGGGCTCTTCTGCTCTCCCCCAAAACCATCCCAACCCAATGAGATGCTGGATTCCTTTAGCACCACCCTACGCATTCAGAAGCCTTTTTCCTCCATGCTTTACCTGTCACCCAAGCAGATGTGCCATCTCCTGCCAACTCCTTCTCCAAAACGTGCTTCTTCCATGAAGAGTTAACAGGGCTAGAGGGAAGGCCCGCTGACACCACGTATCGTGTGTCCTGTTCGTGTGCCTTCCTCCCCAGGCAGCGATCGTAACATCCTTGCTGTTTAATGAATTATCTAACACGCGGTCAACAGTCGATCCGTGATGAGGTTTATGCTTAAGGACTCATTAAAAGGCATTGTAAAATATCATCCAAAGGATGAAGTTGGAGTTTGAAGGCAAAGAAATAGACTCTCACCCTCCTGATGCGCAGTTTAAGCAATCCAGGTACAAACCACCACTCCTGAATGGGCTCATCCCTTCCAGCAGCTCTCAGCTTCGCTTCCCACTAGAGGTCACTACGAAACCCATTTTAATTCTCAAAGTTTCCCGAGGTTTTCCCCTGCAATGGACGGGTTCCCCCTGACCCACTACCCCAAAATGGCTACAGCCTGGACTACGGTCAGTGCTGGCTCCCAGACAACGCCAGACCTTCCTTTCCCCTTCCTCCACCCACCCAGAAATCAACAGTAACAGACTATTTTCCCATGGCTACTTCTCTGCATAAGCAGCCAACAGAATGAAACCCCTCTATTTGGGCAGCCAGTGACCCACGAGCAAGCACCCTCTCACTTCTGTTCAACCACACTCTCCAGGTGATGCTCAAACCCATTAGGAGCTTTTAAATATAAAGCTTCACACCCAAATCTAACCTCTCCGAGTAACAGAGATATCCTTCAGAAGGAGCTCAGAGCAAGCCAAAAGTTGACATACAGACCACAAAATAGCTGTGCTTGGTCTTACAGCAACATCAAGGAGTTAAGTATCTTACCTCGTGGCTCAGAGTCATTGAGGAAAAAAGGTGAAGAGTAAGATCTGGGGAGCTGAGTAAACAAAAACATTTTCAATTTGTCCTCAGCTAGATTGTAACAAGAACACTCAAACTAAAAATTTTAACACCCAATAGTTTGTATTTCTAATAGAGAAATGGAAAACCACCTGTTTAACATCTGTTTCCCAACAGAATCAATCAGTTTTTGCCCACAGGGTCAGATAATTCTTACTGACAGGAGCACACTTGCGTTACGATCTCTGCAATAAGGCTTCCCACCCCCACTGACAGCCAGAGCCTTATTTAACACTGGACACAGCAACCCCAAGGCACAGCTCAGTCTATTTGTTCAGCCCTGTCTCCAGCTGGCATCCTAAGGAATCCATTGTGATACCCAACTTGTTCTTCTATTGTTACCCTGTTGAGATCCAAGCAAATGAAGTTCATGCCACAGGAATGCAGCACAGAAAGCAGGCATCTCTGGAGCCACGTGATGTAAAATAGAAGTGAGAGTCTCAAACCTGCTCAAGACAGATGAGCTTGGAGCAACACCGCTAACAGATTCCTTTAGGAACGTCAAAGCTCTGTTTTGGAAATAGTCATTGACTGCAACAGGCAGCGCTCCTTGACCCGGTCCTGCACCCCTCGTGCTCAACAGGAATTTGCTCATTAAGGCTCGTCAAAATAGGATGGAGGCACTGCAAGGGTTACACCGAGGAAACTCCTTGGGCTCTGCTCTGCTAAAGGTTCTCCAAGAAGACTGCCCAAAAGGCAGTGACAGAACTTGACCATATAGAAAGGGGTAAGAAAGATGTCCTGAGACAGTCAGCACAGCTGGAAGCAGAGGCTGTTTCTTACATGGCCAAGTCAGCAGGAGAGCAAAGATGGGCACCAGCAGTACTACACCCTCCCTCCCAGCAGCAACCCAAGGCCAAGCTTGCAGCATGCCATATTGATGGAGGAAGGGCTGCATGCAGCTGCTCTGAGAGCAGCCTGGATCCCTTCCTGCCCTCCCTGAGTGGCAATCAGAGACTGCAGTCTTCATGGAGATGGTACTGCTGCATGCTTGGCAATAAGTTTTGGGGCAATGCATTACTGCACCAGAATAACGGCAAGTCCAGGGAAATACTTCCCTCCCGCTGTAGATGCTCTGGTGTGGCTCATAAGAATTCATTTGTTCAGAGTAATTTTCAAATAAACTTGAAGTGCACATAAAACCAAAGAAGCAGATCAGATCCACACCAAGTAACCACGCTGCATCTGTATGATTGCAGCATCAAAAAGATTTTTATTTTTATTTTTTTTTAAAGATATTTCAGTTAGACAAGCCCATACATCCCTGGAAACCTCTACCACATTTTTACAGAAAGCAAAGCTCTGCACACCAGCTGTACTTGGGAACACAGCAGCAATGCCAAAGAGGTACGTCTTGGGTTTGTAAGGCAGCACTTGAGAAGCACATACAGTAGCTTGGGATGTCCCAAGGCAGCAGAATTCATAAATACAATTATACTGTGGAAAAATTTACACATTGTAACCTAATTTTTTTTCAAAAGAATACAGAATAAGAGGGTTTTAAGGTTAATCAACAGCCTAGGGAAACGCCAACAATTCTTAAGGCCTCTTGTCTGTATCCAGGGAATAGCCCACTATAGACTTGTTAAAGGGTGACTGTCTGTCTTTCTCAATAGAAGAGAGGTCGAGGTGAACTACTTCACTTTCATAAATCAAAAGAAAGAAAAAAGTGAGAAAATCTCTAGAGTTCAAACATTTCTTTAAAACCCAAACTTTAAATACTAAATGGGCTTCATGGCTGCCATTTTGAAAAACATTAGTTTGCCAAAGGACCCTTTTGATTTCTATTCGAAATGTAAGAGCTCACAGATAATCCATTGAGAATCAAGCCCCCACAAAAGGCCCTCTGAAACAATCGTGGTGCTTGTGAAGGACAACATTTTTGTGCGCAAAATAAAACATTTTAATGCGCTACAATCCATTACACATATATTCCTCCATTTCCTTTCAGTAATTATTCATTAGAAAACATTTAACGTCACTGCAGATTTCACACTGGGCAGTCTGCACACAAAGGAGAAGAGTTGGCCCATTTATAAGGGACTGAGGCCTTCTTTTCTAATCTGAGAAACTCCAAGGAGGTGGGGGCTGCTGGACACAACGGGCAGGCTAAATTGTGCGGTTAACGGTCAAAGCCCCCCTGCCTACTTTGACACTCATTTAAAGATGACAGCGAACAATAGAGATTTGTTCTTAGCAACTCTTTCTTGTTATGCGGCCTACATGGGCTCAGCCGGGCCGCTCAACGCGCCGAGCTGCTCCTGGTGCTCAGCCCCACCTGCCACCGCTCGCCCTCCTCGGGCTGTGTGCTCCTCACCCCCTCCTCCCCCATCCTTTCCCCACTTTAACACAATGAGACAGGTAAAGAATATCATTAAAAAGAGTCCCATTCAGCACGTCAGCTTTAATAAAACAATCGCCTGTCAGGTTAATATGAGCAGCTCGCGTTTTGGGTTAGGGGCCGATAGCGCTGCTCCTTCCGAGCCAGGTTGGTGAAAGCAGTCCTTCCTAAAATTCCCAGCCCACCTCCAGGCTTTTGGTGCTCCCAGGTTGTAGCACTGTCAGCAGGCACCAGTGCATTCATTAAGAGCATCTGACTTCCAGTGCATAACCCCTAAATTGTCAAAACCCACTACGAACGTGCAAGGAATGTTCGATTCCCTTCATCAGCTCAGTCTGCATTCAGCAGAACTTCAACAAGTTTACCTCAGATACACCAGCACAAATCCTGAGGGTAGAACAGTTTGGACATCAGAAAGCAAGGAAAGGTTGACCTGTACAACTGCTTCTCTCAAGAGGTGTAGAAGCTGAAAGCAAACTAGCCAGGCAATACCTACAACAATAAGCCTAAACCAAGATTTTAGCACAGGGTCCCATAGTAAATGCCATTATCCCCACATCAGAGCCCTGAACTGAATAGGAGGGGACCGTTGAAGGTCACCTAGTCCAACCCCCCTGCAGTGCACAAGGACACCCACAGCTCCATTGGGTGATCAGAGCCCCATCCAGCCTGACTTTGAATGCCTCCAAGGTCAGGGCATCCCCACCTCCCCAGGCAACCTGTGCCAGTGCCCAAGTTCCATAGTAAAATCCATTACCTTTGCATTGGAACTCAGAGAAATCAGGGGTTCCTCTGACAGCTGCTGCAAACCGGTCACCTGCACAGGCTGCAGTGCAAGATCCAATCCACCTGAATTACAGCAGAGGTCACCCACACACTCACATTAACTTATAGCGTGTGCTTACTCTGGGCCCGGCTTGTCAGGCTTGAAGAAGCACCAGATGCCAAGGCTGCAGTTTTGGATGAAGGAAGGGAAAGCTCTGAGGGTTTATTTGAAGAGGCTATGAGTTCAGCCTCATTCTCTAGCTGCAAGTTTTTTGGTAAATATACTATTTCAGCAGAGTCTAGAGAGGCAACGGCAACGCAGCAAGGGAACATTCTCAGGAATAAAGAGCAAGCCTTCCTCAAGTCAATTCAGCAAACATCTTTATCCAACTCCCCTCGTTGGTTTAGCTTTCCTGGACCACCACGCACACAAGAAACTTAACTAACAAGCATTTCAATACAATAGTCAAGCACGAAGACATTTTGCTGATAGGACATGCTGTGAGAACATGGGAGAGCAAGTGGCAGCACTGCTGTTCACTTGTAACCAGGACAGGGACAGAAGAGAAGGAAGAACTACAGAAACACAGAAGTCTAAGTTACTTTTGCTACACGCTGGGTACAAAGCAGGACATCCCCACCACTTCTCCAGGCCCCCTCCTCCATTGAGCACAAGAACACCATCTGCTCTCCCTTTTCAAGTAGGTGACAGCCCCTTTCCTCCTCAGCCACACCACCACCCCACATAACCCCAGATATTCTCTTCCTTGCAGCAGGAAGGAAAATCATTATTCCCCACACAGTGCCAACCAGGCACCTAAGCCTGTTGACAGTGCAGTCCTTCCTAACTTAGCTGGAACACATGCCAGCATAAAAACCTACAAGAAGCTCTGAACTTACCCTCACTTCTTCCATATTGTCATAAGACACGGCCCAAAGCAAGCCAAGCAGAAAAGGAACAAATCAGCCTCCACCTTCTTAAACAGCAAATTACTCTCTAACTGCATTACACACTGCTACAGGGGTAGAGGATGGAGAGAGAAGTGACTCAGCTGTAGATTAAAAAGTGATTAAAAGGCTGACACAGGGAAACGTAATCATCTGCAACAAGGAAAACCTGCTAAAACAGGTGTCCTAAGGACTAAGGTGTACTACATGAAGAAGAAAGTTTTTTAAAGCAGCAACAAAGCAGTAATACCATCTCAGCTGTGATCCTATACAAAATGACTGCCACGGTACAGCTGGTGTAAAATCTATTCCTTTTCCCTCACATAGAAAAGAAGAAAGGTTTTGTTTTAATAAGTTAGCAATGTTTAAGAAGAAAGTGCAATATATATTAAAAAAAAAAAAAAGTAATATACTGTAGATTGAATTATTTGTGCTAAACAGAGAGAAGAGAAAAAAGAATCATAGAATGGTTTGAGTCAGAAGGGACCCCCAAAAGCCATCTGTTCCCACTGCCTGCAGTGCACAGGGACACCCACAGCTCCAGCAGTGCTCACAGCCCTGTCCCCTGACCTTGGGTGTCTGCAGGGATGGGGCAGCACCACCTCTCTGGGCACCCCGTGCAGTGCCTCACTGCCCTCAGTGTAAATACTTCTTCATATCCAACCTAATTTTCCCTCTATTAGTTTGAAGCCATTTCCCATTCTGCTATATACGGTATATGCAGAATAAACAGAACTTGGGTTGCTACAAGCAGAGTTTTGTGTTAAATACTTGAATTTTAAAAAATAAATTCCCCTTGAATGACATGACTTAGTGTTTTCACAAGTTAGATGGTCATGTAATTGCAGACTAACAAACAGCAGACCAATACATCAGCAAATGCTTTTTTATTTTATTGCATCTTGAAAAACTGTAGGAAATTCTTGGGTTTACACATTTGTTGGAATCAGGTGCTACTATTAAAATCCATGTTCCTGGCTGTCTTGAAAATAAAATCTGCTCTCACGTGCTCGGACTCAGGGCTCTGTACAGTGCCTGGCTGTCCCAGCTTCATATGGAGCAACAATTATCACAGTAATGAATGCACTCAGCCCATTTGCTGTAATTCTGTCTCCTGTCATTAATACAGTAAATAACCAGATAGGGAATCCTGTCTGAGGATAAAAATAAAGGCTGTGCCAAACTCGAACCATATGCAAGTTGCTGTTCAGTCCCCAACAGCTCGCATGGCAGATAATGTCGCCTTTGTCTCGCCTTTCATTCTGTTTGTAAAATCTCCATTTCCACGGCAGGTGGCCACATCCCCTCCCCCCAGCCTGGAGCAGAGTCCCCTAACAGAGAACATGAGGAAAGCTTGGTTCTAAACAGGAGAAATTCCTCCACACCTCACAGCAACGCTGCAAACCCAAAGATAAAAGCTTATCAGATAGGAAGATGTTGTTTGTGTCCCAGGCGGTTTGCAGCCCGTTAAGGAGCTGCTCCAGGAATAAGTTGCATGTGACATAGCAGCAGGGCTTGGGGACACTGAAGCCGTGTCACAGCACCAGGGCTCACAAGTTGGTGAGATATGCAATGGGGGCACATGGAGGGCATCACCCAAGGAACCACTCTTGGGTATACTGGGATTACTGCACTGATTTCACAGTCTTTAAAGCTGACCTTCAGAAGGACAAAACGGGGAAAAAGAAGCAGGATATTCTGCTCGGAGTGTTTCAGAATAAGTAATGGCAGGTCTTGGCTGTGTGTTTGGGAGGATGAATAGAGAACAAGCAGGTTTAACACCAGCAGGGCCAACAAAGAGGCACGGGGCTGTCTGACACGGGCAAATGATTTTTCTTTTGAGTGTGTTTTTTTGTCTGATAACTGCAATTTATGTCAAATATCTGGCAAAGTATACAAGGGTGGAAAGGAAAACTCTCACATCAGCTGCAGAAGCCTCCAGCTAGTAAAAGCTGTTCCTCATTTAACCAGACCACGCACTATACAGTAGACACGCTGACAGTCCCATGCAAAGTAAGAAGCTTCCAGTGTTTGCTCTAAGCAAAGCTCCAATAGACTGAGCAGGATGATACCACAGCTGTGGGACATCCCCATCATCTCCTCTCTGAATGGTTCTCTAACACATCAAAGCCAAACTGATATTACTTCCTTTTGCTCTGTGTTCTCATCAGACATAAGATGTGGAAGGAATTAATTACGGGTGATTAAAAATTAAATCCTCTGTCTTGCCTTTGGTTACTGTATTTCTCTCTCTGACTCAGAACATGCAGCTTAATGCTCCGTTACGCTCTGCCTCTGTTCCCTTTTATTTGGGAATAATTTGCTTACTTCTCCTTGGCTTCAGCACTGGGCTCTGTCATTTGGTGCTCGCAGTGCCAGCTGCTCAGCCCTTCCAACACAGACTGCCAGAGTCCCTTCCAACCCAAGCCATTCTGTGATTCTGTCATTCTGTAAGTGGAATGCTTGCCAGGTAGATCACAAGAAGTTCTTAGTGCTATTCATTCATCCACAAGCTCTAGATAGAGAACATCCAGGCCACATGTAGGTCTGTCCTATAAAACCACCACCAGGTTCTGTGATGAGGTTTGATGGAGATCAAGTCTGTGACCACCATTGGAACAGGCCAGCTTCGGAACCTTTGAAGCATTTAGAAAGACTAAAATGGACTATTTAAGAAAACAGTCTGTGTTAATCATGCAAGATATCTACAGCGGTCTTACAGAGCTTTCCCTGGAAGTTTTGCTACAATCTATGGCAAGAGAAAGTCATAAGCAGAAACCTAGAAGCGTGCATCTTCATTGCAAGAGCTGTTAGGAACCTTTGACTGTTAACATCCTGCTGGAAAAAAAAAGCAAGTGGTTTGAACCTGGAGTTCCATCTGTCACCACCTCTGTCAAGACCTCATTAGCATGCAAGTGAGATGTCACTCAGTCACAGCTTCCAAGAAATTTCCTTGCCAAAGTCCACCAAAGTAAATTACTCAGTAAAGAGGGAAAATGCACATTTATGAACATACAGGCTACACATTGAAGGCACGTTGTCCAAGATAAATGCAGTTTTGCTCCGCAGGGTTTTTTTAAGTGAGTCTAGATATTTTTTGATTGAATTATATCGGCTGTGTGCTTTATAAAAATATTATTTCAAAGTCATTCTACCACCACCTAACCTATGGAAATGCGCTACTCAAATACTTGCTAATGCAGTTAATAGAAATTGGAAGTACACCTCTAGCTGCTAATACATCTATTGCTACAGCCACTAATAGTTAAAGTTACCTGGGTATCCATCTTGAATGCTGTTAAAGTCAGCTGATAACAATTATTCCAGCTAAACCATTCAAAAGGTGCTTTGAACTTGTTTATGGTCGTTCGTCACACTGTGCAGCCAGGTAGGAGGCTAAGTTCTCACCTGAACAGAATACCATCAATAATTTAGAGTGTGAGTCAGGGACTTTGTCCTATGGCACTTGCATACGCATCATGGCCACTTTTCCAAGATAAGAACTAGAAACTGTATCTTCCTTGAGATTATATTGCAGACACCAGTGATCTTTGATGAGTCGGTATAAGTGTTTTATGTTAATTACAAGCTACCAAAATAAGTGACTGCTTCTATCTGCTGTATTAAAGCAGGAGTCAGCCCAAACCAGGGCTCTGCAGACTGAGTGGTGGGTGCTCACCTGCTTGTTGAGAGACCTGGAGGTCAGAAGATGTAGGAGAGGCCTAAGCTGGAAGCTCTAAGGTTAATAATGTATATTCCCTTGTTATAGTATCTCTTTTCCCAGGTTGAGGCTAAGACATGCTTAAAAATTAAAAGTGCAGATATCCCACAAAGGAGGAGCAGATGCTAAGACAACACATTCATCTTTAATGTGATTCCAACTCAGAACGCCTCTTTTGCTAACTTTCTTGCATTACTGCAGCCTCTGTGATCTTTAACCCCACCGTATAATGTTATTCCTTAAATAAAACAGAAACAAAATAATTTTATAAAGAAGGAGTACCTGACACTAACATTCACATATTTTCTTCTTTTTTCTTTTTTTTTTTTTACTTTCTTTCTTTTTGCAGGGTCCTGATGGTGCAGCCAGATCCTGAGGAAAGGCACTCCTACCTCTGCTGGCATCCTCGCAGTGCTGTCCTCACACTCCATCTCACAGACTGATGAAAAATTGGACCACAAGCTTCTACTGATTTCTACAGCTCAATTCCCATTACAAATAATGTGGGGAAAGGAAAATAAAAAATTGAACATAGTATGGCAGTACAGTACATAGATGGCAAGCACAGTAATCTGTTATATTGACTTCAGTGGAGAACCCACTGAGGAAAATTCATTCATTTATAAATACTTGAGTGAACATGAGTGTATCACTGAATGTTTTAGGAGGTAGAAAAAGAAAATATACTCATGCTCAGACAAACTCTTGGAAGCAAATGCCTACAACTGCTGAGCCCTTGCAATCACTTATCTGCTGACAAAAGCTTTTGTGCTCATCCTCATCCCAGTGCTCCCACCTATACAGACGAGGCTGTACATTTTCAGTAAAATAAACTGCACAGTTATTTTAACATGCAAGGTAACAGTGGTGCTGTTACCTTGACCACCACCAAGAGCACTGTTAGTCTTTCAGACAGTTACAACTTTGAAGTTGCCACCAGCCCTAATACCAAATGGACCTTCTCAAGACATCCATTCTCAGTAAGGAATGCTGAAGAACTGCTACATACAAAGGAGGATAAAGAAGACATGGAATTAAAGGATAAAAGGAAATACTGCTCTTTGCAGCCTTAAGAATTGAACCCAGAATTCTGCATCACTTCAGCATTCACATGGATGAAAACAGAGCTGAGAATGTTGTACTGCGTTCCCCTTTGCACCACGGAGCGATGGCTCCACTTCTATGGACAGTTCATGGAGGTGTCTCACACTAGAAACCATTCAATGTGATCTGCTCTTCCTCAGCCACACTGCACCTGGGTAACTGGCCTCATTACAGAGGAATATTTTAGCAGTCAGACGTGGCTTCATGCTACAGTACCTTTGTGCAGACAGATCACCTTTAGCGATTATTTATTTCAGGAGTTCAGATTCCTGCCTTCCTGTGACATGATGAATGACTTTTAAGTAACATAATATCTGGTTTCCTCTTCTTTCACACACCCATTTCATTGCCAGTTGTCTTCAGTGACCAGATCTAGGATTGTCTGCAGTCAAATCAAATGGGAAAGAGAAACTCTTTACCACATGCCCAGCCTCCTCTTGTTCATTTTTAATT